AGAGAGGAGAGAGCGGACAAACACTGCAAATTAATAGTGCGAGAAGCTTTCGTTGAGGCGATCGCTCAAGCCACAGCAGACGCCCATGCAGTGAGGGCTCTCAGAGCCCGAGCAAGCCCAGGCGCGGCTCGCTTATTCTGTGTAAGACAGTCTAATTGCGTACAGCCGACCCACGGCCTTCAATGACGACGAGGGCGGTCGGGGCGACCCCTGCCCCATCGTCGATTGCGATCTCGGCAGGGGGCAAATGGTTGTCGGATTTCGAGGCCGAGATGTCAACCTTCAATATCCTCGCGTTTGCCGCGCACATGTGATCGAAGCGCGGCCATGAGGGCCGCCATGGCGCTTATGTCAGGCCCGGGTGCTGGGAAACAGCCTTGACGCGTGGCTGCGCGCCGTTCGATGAGGGGGCGCGCGGGGCTCTGCTGCTGGCGAGCTCTCGCCTAGAGAATGCGTGGGCTCGCAATGTGCCGCTGGTTCTTATTTTGAATTGAGCGCGTTGTTGCGGTTGCATGCGCCGATCATTATGCGCGCCCAGACATTCAAAGACGCGGGCTGTTGTGCGCGCGCGCTACGGCGACGACATCAATCCTGGGTTTCGCTTCTCTGGATGCGGCTGGACATTGCGAGACGGCGCGCGGCCCAGTCGAAGCAGCTATTCAAGCATTGCATCATGCATCACTCAACAAGAGCGTGCGCAGTTGGTTGTAATGAAGAGTTGACGAAACCCCAAGAGGCGTCGGCCAGATCCCTGGGCAGACGCGGCAGGGCCCGCCACGGCCCCGCTGCCATTGAAACGCCCGTAAGGCCATCGGAAGACGATGGAGGTAGTCTGTCAGCCAACCCCGAAGACTAATAATGTTTGTTCCAGGGGGCCATCGCCACCGTGGCTGCGGACGTTTGCGTTTTGATTTCAGTCGGAAGCGATGAGCTCGGAGGCCCAAGGAAATACCTGGAGGAAAATGCCATCCTCTGCTCGCCTTTCGCCCTTGACGACTGCGCCCTGGGAACGGACGCGCGCGGGGCATCGGCATAATTCCGTTTTGCATTTGACGTGGTCGTGGTCACCCAGAAGGAATCGCAGCGTGAAGATCCGCCCGCGAAGGAAGCAGCCGCATCGCAGCACTTCGAGCGCATGTCTCTGCAGCTGCTAGACTGGCTGCAGTTGCCATGGCAGACGATGCGTGGACGAAGAAACGCGACATCCCAAAGGTCTTTGGCCTGGTTTTGATGAACGTGCGATCTGCATCGGTAACCTTAGTGTCAGGATTCAGCGAATGCTTGCAGCCAGTAACAGCTTGACTTCGAGCAATGCACGCAGGCAAAAGTTTGTTCGAGGACCAGGTGGCGAGGTGAATCGTTCGATGCGACTTGACCTAGCGGCCCAGCGCAGGGGCTTCCTGGACACGGAAACCTCCACGTGCGAACGTGTTCCAGCATTGCGCACCGAGCGTCGCGGCGACCATTGGCGCGCGAGCCAGCGAGTCACCCTTACATGGTATTTGCTTCCACGGACGTCGACTGGGCAGTCCTCGGGGGCGTGCCGCGTGCCGAACTGGCGGAAGCCGCGCAAGAGCAGGAAGGGAAAGTGCGCTTCAAATGGCCTCTGGGCAGTTCGCGCAGTCTTCGCGCATTGGAACGATCTGACCATTGCGGCGAAAGCCGGCGATGCTTCAAATGCCTGGAGCCAGGGGCCTGCACCCAGGACGCCGCGCGAGCCTTCCCAATCTGCGAAACTCAGCGGGGAAGTTCGTCGAAGCTTGAAAGTCGAACAGACACACGTATGCCAGTTGCGCAGGGAGGCGCGCCAAGACGAACGGTGGCGATGCCAAGCTGGGCCACTATGAGCACTTCAAGCAACTGCGCGCCCCGTCGTCCGCGCTGTATTCACTGGCGACAACCTTGCGACGTCGCCGCTCAGTTAGCAACGCATGTTCGTCAGCCGGCGACGCGGCCTCCCTTGCGCACTCCTTGCGCGAACCTGGCCAATGGCGCGCGCTGCATTCCTCCGACGGGCACGGGGGCCTATGAACGCCCAACCTAGAAGGCCCAACGCTGCGACGAGGGAACGCGCGAGCGACCCCGGGAAATCGCATGCCCTGCGACGATCCTCTCAGGGGCGCGGATGCACGCAGCGAGTCGGGGCGCCGCCGGCTTACCTGCGACGGAGAAGACGACGAGGAGGGCCATGGCGTGCGAGGGGCCAATATCAGGATTCTGGGTGTTTCGCCACCACGAGAGCCCGTCCGACGCCCCGCAGGCGGCCCTGCAACTTTCATCGACTGCCGGTTTGATCAAGCTACGCGGCTGGGGCAATTGCGGCAGCTCGCAACTTGGACGGATGCCATCCGACACTGGCTGCGCGACGCGAACTTCGTAAGTGTCAGGCCGGTGGCGCCTTCGGCCCCTCGGCGCAGTGGGCGCTTCGGCGGGCTGGCCGCGCGACGCGCGGGGCGCGACTGCCGACGGACATGTTGCAGGTGGCTTTTGGCGGGGCGCGCTGCTGGAAGCCGTGTTGGGCAGACCGCTGCTTCGACGTGAAGTCGCTACGTCTGCCCTTTTTCGCGGCGACCCATCTGGGCGCGCGGCGCTCTGCCCGCCTCGTTTGGGGCGGCGGCGATGCTGGCGATGCTGGCTGATCGCGTGCTGTTTAGTTGCCGTGAGGGAAAGGTGGTCTTATCTGTTGAGCGCGATCTTGACATTACTACGCGCGATGGAAAGCAGTGCTCTTTCTTGCCGAGCACGCCTCCGCCATTTTTGCCACTATGTCTTTGCGTTTCCTTGAATGTGCAATGCCGCGAAGAACCGCCAACTTACTTGTGGCGTCGACGCCGGTCAGGGAGGGACGCTGCGCTCCATCATCATGGGGTGCATTCTTCCGATGTGTATGACCGACGCTGCGCGTTGTGCGATATGAGAAATTTCACCTCTTCGTGCATTTGCTCAGGACGTGCCAGTCCTTGCAGCTGCGCGCCGCCAGGCCGAGGGCCTCGCGCCTTTCCTTTCAGGCGCGTTCACTGTTACTTTGCAATCTTGTTTTGGCGGAGATCTGCGCCTATGTCTGTCTCCTTCCCTCCCGATGTAAAAAGGGGCTATACTGGATGGATCAAGGCTAGCCCTTGAAGTCACATCCCGCCGCCATTCGGCTTCCGGCGCTGCAGGCACGCTCGCCCTATGCGCTCGGAAATGTTGCGTTCGCCTTTTGCGGGTAAAGACTGCCGCCCTACATCCTGTATCCGTCCTTCTTACTATAACCCCGATCCTACTGCATGATGTATCTGCAATGACAAGGAAACCCTCGACCCTCTTAGGGTCCTGTTGGGCCGTATGGGGGCGATTCGGGGTCCCCGTGGGCTGTGTTGCGCCGTCGACAACCCGATTGGGCGAGAACGCCGACTCCCTTCAGAAACGGATGGGGCATCAATGCTTTGGGTTTTGAAAAAAAGGCCTTTTTCGGCCGCGTATGGTCGCCCGTTGATCTCTCCAAGACGCCGAAGATGGCCTCAAGACGGCCCGCGCCATGCGGCAACGCGCGTCAACGCGCGACGTGGCCAGAAGGCACCCGCCATTTTAATCGGCATCGGGCACTTCTGGGGCGGGCCTTTCATTTTCAATTATCGATGAGGCCTGCGGCGGATCACCGCCGCTCATTGTTTTTCAGGATGCGCCTCTGTGGACAAAACTTTGGGCATCGTTTGGCCACGCCTATGCGTTTCCGCAACCGTTGTGGGATCCTTTCGGGGGACGCGAGACGGATAGGATAGGGAGGACAACAAGAATATGCGGACAGGGATGAGGAGACCTCTTGGGAACTTTTCGGGTCATTTCAGGGGCTTCCTGGTTTTGGGGGGTTTCTTGGGGGCCTCTTCTGTTGTCTTGCGGCGTTCCTGGCTTGTCTGACGCCGTCGGACGTCGCCGTGGGAATCTCTCCAGGCCGTCTCCGGGCCTTCGTGGGTCGCTTCCGGGTCGTTTTGACAACGGTTTTTTGCGTCCTGGGCGCCATCCTGGAGGTCTCTCGGGCGATCTTGGGGCAATCTTGGGGCAATCTTGGGGCATCTTTGGCCGTGTTGAGCCGTCGGAAGGCAGTTTTGAAGCAACTGTCAAAAGCTGCAAAAGCCAAATGACAAAAGATGTTTGCCTCTTCGAGCCTTTTTGAAGAACGCTGTGGGGGTTTATTGGGCCGTCGTAGGGGCCTTTCAAGCCGTCTGGGGCTTTTTTGAGCCGTCTTGTCAGTCTTGGAGGCATCACGGGACCGTCTCGGAAGCCATTTTGGGGCTATGCTGGGCTCTCTTGGGGCAATTCTGCCCGTCTTGGAGGCATCTTCGAGGCCATCTTGGGCCATCTTAGCCGTGTTGGGGGCGATTTGACCAATGAGTTGTTGTTTTTTCGTGGCTTTCCAGGTGGCTGGCAGGCTGCGCAGGAACCCCGTGGGCAATTGTTTAGAAAAAGAACCGACCAATCGCCAGACCTTCGGACCGCCGTGCACCCTTGTGGCAAGATCACAAGTCGCGACGGATCGAGCGGCCTTCGGGCTACCCCGCCACCGCCCCTGGAACGTAGGCAAGGGGCCTTATTGATGCTTGTGAGGTGAGGATCTCTTGGGAGGTTTCTCGGATGCCTCTCTGAGGCGGTTTTGGGGGTGTCTTGGGGCGTTTGGGCATTGGGTGGCCTCTCGCGGACTGATTTGGGCATCTCGGCCCCTCTGGGGGCCCCTTGGGGCCTCTTGGGCGCACCTCGAGGGCTCGTGGGGGGATCTTGGGGCCATCTTGTGGCAGAGGGCTTCACATGTTAGTCCGTGTTTCCCATCTTGGGCCGTTGTTGGGGCCGTCTTGGGGGCCTCTTGGGCCCCTCTTGCGGGTCCTTGGGCAGTTTTGGAGCGATCTTGGGCACCTCTTTGGCCGTCTTGGACGCTCTGAAGACCGAAGGGGCAGCAATGCAAAACTTATCACACAACATGGGCCTTCAACGACTTGGGCATCTTGGGCCGCCCTCCAGAGCTTCCAAAACGGACCCTGGTCCGCATCCATCTTGGCTCAAGGTTAGCTCGAGCTTCTTCGTTGTGCCCTGGTGCTTCGACCGACGCTGTACTCGCCACTGTTGTTGCAGTCGCCGCCCTGGGGCTCGCTCGGCCGATGGTGCAGATTGAGGTCGGCGCTGAGCCCGGCAACGCGCCACCCGAGGACGAGAAGCCTCCGGCCGAGCCCGTCGCCTCCTACCGCGAGTTCTTCCAGTTCCTCAAGGGGTCGGAGAAGGTTCTGGTGGCGCTCTCGTTCGTCGGCTCGGCTTCGTCTGGCGTCGCGCAGCCCGGCATGCTTGTCGCCTTCTCCGCACTCTTCAAGCAGCTCAGCGCCAGCGACAGCGGCGGCGTGCAGGTCCCTGACGATGTCATGCTCGAGATGCTGTACATCATGATCGTCCTCGGCCTGGTCTCGTTCATGGGAATGTGGATTTCGAATTGGGGCATCGACACGGTGACGTCACAGCAGGTGCTCCAGTATAAGTCGGCGTACCTCAAGGCGGTGCTGCGGCAGGACGTCGGCTGGTACGACACGAGCCACCCCGAAGAGCTCGCGACCCGGTTTGCGGAGGCCATGGTTAAGGTGCAGAAGGGCTTCAAGAGCTTGCCCATGGTCTTCATGGGGCTGGGTTACGGCTTCGGCGCGCTGGTCGTGGCATTCTTGCCCCAGTACGGGCATCCAGCCGTGGCGGGTGTCACCATCGCCACCGTGCCTCTACTGGCATGTGCCGGGATGGCGATGATGTATTTCGTCGAGAACGGCTCGAAGTTGGTCGGGAGCGCTTATGCCAGCGCGGGTGGTATTGCAACCGAGTGCCTCTTCTCGATGCGCACGATCACCTCCCTCGGCATCGAGAGGGAGTACGAGAACCGGTACGCCTCCTCGCTGCATGGCGTCCGGAAGGTCACCGTGACCGCCACCATGATGCTCATGATGTTTGCTGGCCTTGCTCTCGCGTCGTACCTCGTGATGATGATTGTAGCGATCGCCTTCGGCGCCTTCCAGCTCGCCAGCGAAGTTGAGCAGTCGGAGTTCCCGCTGGTGGTGCCGTTCTCAAACGGGACTTACCACTACTGTGGCGACGGCACGACGGGCGCCTACGCTGGCACCAGCGACCCGCCCTGCGACACGCCGTTCCTAATGTCGTGCGCCCTTGCCAACTACATCTCCATCGACGAAGCGAGCCTGGAGGCCTTGGGCTTCAGCAGCAAGGACAGCTTTGATGAGTACGTGACGGACGCAGACCGTGCCCCGGGGCCGTACCTGGCGGACAATGGTTCCTATTACAACTGCCAGTGGGGCGGCACCAATATTCTCATCTCGGCGGCGGGCGAGGGGGGGAAGTGAGACGGAGAAGGCCCTCTCAGAAGTCGGGGGGCTTTTTTCAGAATCCTCGAGCCTTCCCAGAGGTTTTTTGTATCTTCGGGCAAGGCTCAGAAAATTCTTGACGCTTCGCGTATCCCTACCATTCTTTGCTTGCTTGTCGCTGTATAATTTGTAGGGACCGCGCCCCGGACTTACCTTTGACGCCGCCTGCGCCTTCGCTTGCGGCTGCGACCAAAAAAAGTATCCCCACCAGCTCGCGGCCCGACTAGTGTTTGGACGGCTTTCGACCCGCCTCGCGAGGCCGTTAACCAAAAGTATCCCCACCAGCGCATCCAGAAACGATGTCCAGGCAAGTTGAGACGATCATGGGAGCGTAGGAGCAACATGGGGGACAGTAGTTATCGTTCGAGGGAGAAGGAGGAGGAGGTGGAGGAACAGGAGGAGGAGGGATGATGGAGGAGGGCGAAGGATGATCAGTTTGCGGATGAGGAGGAACAAGAGGAGGAGGAGGAGGAGGAGGAGGAGGAGGAGGAGGAGGAGGAGGAGGAGGAGGAGGATAAAGGGCGATCGGAAGAGCCAGAGACCTCTAGAATGCCTCTCGGAGTCTCCTCGGATGTCGCTTGGAAGCTTTTTTGGGACCTCTTGGGTCGTCTAGGGGGGCATCTTGGCGGGCCCAGGGTGGTCTTTAAGCGTCTTGGGTGCCTCGGGGATCCTCGTGATGCCTTGGGAGCATCTTGGAGGCCCGTTGGGCGCCTCTTAGGGCCGTCTGGGCACCTCTTGGGGCCGTCGTTGGGCGATCTTGGCAGCTTTAGGGGCACTCTTCTTGGAACCATATTGGACGACGTCGATCAAACAAAGAGGAGAGCTTCAATTAGGGTCCCACCTCGGGAGCCCACAACATCGCCTCTTTGGGCGCTCTTGGGGCGCTCTTTGAGCGCTATTTGGCGTTCTTGGGGCCATCTTGGCCTCATGGGCTCCTCTTGCAGCCTTTTTGGGACATCTTGGATCCATCCTGAGGCCTTGGAAGGCCATCGGTAGC